TGCCAGGCCTGCGCCTTGCAGTAAACACAAGACATCTTTCAAGATTCTCACAAGTGAGTCATCATTGGTCTGAGAGTTGGTATGAAAAGTACATTGTGCCTCTGACCTGTTCTCCTAGGGGAGAGCCAGGGGGAGCGGCCTGTTGAGAGGAAGCGCACTGAGCCGCGTTAAAGAACACCACAGCAGCTTTATCACACTGCAGGTGCAGCGAGGTACACAAACGGTGAGAGCCGTGCAAGAAAAGAGCGTAGTTGAGACGATCGTGCAGTTCAAAGAGGACTACGACTGCGGTGTGAGTAGTGTGAGGCCAGAGATGAGAAGAAGGTGGTCTGTCACTGTGCGGTTGTTTTGCCAGACGCAGTTCTAGTCCTTCGAATGCCGCATCGCGCGCTGACCACTTTGCCAGCAGCCCGATCTGTGCCTCTCTCGTAAAAGGAAGAAGAACAGCAGAAAAATGGTTGACTGTTGATTTGCATGTCAGGCTTACGCAAACGTGATGGCAAGCATGATGATGTTCTCCCATGACAAAGCTGAATCTGTGCAGTCGGTAGGAGAGATGTAGAGTAGCGCGGGCTAGGTTATGATGATTAGAAGGAAGCGCTTGCGTGTTGCCTAACGCGAGCGATCTGTCTCACGTGGTTGGTGTCAGGTGGCTCTGAGATCAAGGGGTCGCCCCACAGTGTGACTGTGGCGTGACTGGTGCACCAGTCGGTAGCGCGTGGACGTCGTGTATGTGTCATTACTTAAGTGCTGCTTGGTAGATTAATTCTAGTAAGCGTAACTAATGTCCGCGTAATGTTTACTTAGTTGAATGGTGTCGTTCCGTGATTATTCGGAAGTCTGCCTACGAGATAACCTATGGGTAGACTGAGAAGGATGTTGATGGCGCAAGAGTAGAGACGGCAGTGGTTAAAATGAGTACAATGAATTGTTCTTCCAAGGAGAGCATCGTGAGGTGGTGAAGTAGTGATGGTGATAGAGTGAAGAATCCTTCAGAAGTACTCAGACAGTAACTTCATGGTACTCTCAGATGTATGCAGTGGACAGTAGCGCTGCCGCGACCGACGTGTGAGATCTTAATCCTCTTCGCTCGCATGCGAACCTCGGAGCTATGTCGGTTCTACCCATACCAGTTACTGTTTTTCCTCTTGTACAGTGTTATATTATATACGGTGAGCGTCACGTGATGATGTATTATTTCCCATACGTCGGTTCTGGCCATACTGTCTCGTATCCCTGTTCTTATACTGTTTTTTTCTCTTTTTTTCTCTATCCACTTTGCTGCTGTAACATTGGAATTTCCCCATTGTGGGACTATTAAAGGAATATCTTATCTTATCTTTGATTAATAGCAAGGAGTTTCCCTGAAAAGACACATTGACCAATCCCTAATATAAACATATATAGGCTACAAATACTCCAGGACTAATTGAAATATACTGTCTAAAATGAGTGTGTGATATAACAACATACCTGTTCAATACACCATTGGACACAAGTGCCTCTTTAGGATGGAAGTATTTGTAATACACATTCCTCACGACAGCATCTGCAGCAGTAATGGTGAGAAAGAAAACAGAATTCAATACGATTGTGACAACAAGACCCTGTAACTTCACCGATGACGTCAACAAACTTCAGTATGCACCGTTGTTGACCATCATTCCAAAGTCCTCCAGGAGAAAGTTGATATTGGTGTCATATTTCACTTCTCCTCCTTCACCGAGCATGACCAGGACATTTCCTCCTCCGTCCAGGTAGTGCTTCAGTACCTCCAGCTGAAATAAAGCAGTGTGGAAAAAGCAGCACAGCAAAGGTTCATTTAGCCATTTCTGCCATCTCTCATGCCATGGGCTGTTGTATGGAAATGAACAAATCCTACTTTAAGACTTTAAACATCACCTCTGATGCGGTGAACTTCTCCCTCGGGCCTGCTGTTATCCACAACCTGACACCCTTCAGCTTCTCCGAAGACAGCTCTTCCTTCATACTAGGGGAGACAGCATTGTTTTTGCGACTGAGGGGTTACTCAAAATGACTGCAAAAGTAAGTATAGTTCAAATAAAAAGCCAATAACCCTTGAGAGCAGCAAATGTGTCACCTTTGAATTTTCCATTGAGCTTTCAGTCTGGTCTGCATGGACTTGTAGCCACTGTTGGCAGTAAACAGCTCTCTTTTGGAAGCGTTGAAGACGACAGTGTTGTGCTGTTCTTTCTCCATCCTTGAATTACATTCACTCAGCAAAGCAGGCCCTTGTTTACATCCGTACACCTAGAAACAGGTTGTGGCCCAAAGTTAGACCCCTTTGAAGTGCCTTTAACACATTATCACTATTTTAGCTAACCGTGGCTCGAGTTAGCACGGCCATTCATCGGCTATAATCGACATTTCCGTGAATAACTGACCGTATTAACTTCCACACGATGTCATTCTCGGTCACTGCAGTAATAATGTAAGCTAACTAGCCATGTAGCTAACAGCCAGGCGTCGTTGCGTTAGAGTTCGAAGCTTACAGTTAATTTAATGTTTCTCTGTACTGCCCATTAACGTTACATTAAACAGACAGCAATGGCAGCTGTTCGCCTGTGTCGTTCATTTCTACCTGTAACGCACTGTTAGCTTATATTCACCGTTGCCAAGTTACCTCTCGAGCGCTCCTAGCACTGATGCATGATGGGTGGAAAGTGTAACCAAGGGCGCTAACTGCATAGTAACGCAGCAGCGTGGCTACATAAGTAGGAGTGTTTGAAAACACCGATTCACCCGGATGGTGTACAGCGCGCACGTACTAGACTGATCTTGTAGTTCATCTTCATAAAAGGCAAATGTTTGACGTGTTTTGGATTTATTCACGTACTCCTTCTCTTTGCATACAGACCTAAAGTCAGTCCTCCTGTGCAGTCTGTCCTCCTGTGCAGTCTGTCCTGGAGGAACAGGCTGCACATTGTCCAGGCTGTCCTGCTGATTGCACTCAGTTCATTTTCCATTGGTGGATCAGGTGCTACATTTCCCTGGCTGTCCTATTTCACAGTCATTTCACTCTTCACTCTCCACTCTCCACTGGGGGATCAGGACTTTGGATTTCTTATTTTGTCATCATGACTGTGGCACTTCTGACTATCAGAAACTTCTTAACATGTCAAAAAATGACAAGCATTCATCCATTATAACATTTATATTCTTTATTGACTGGAAATAAAATTCATTTCTGCATGTTCAGAATGAAACAATCATTAATTCAAAGGAAATGTATATTATTAGGATTACAAATAAATTAAACAGTAGAAACAATCTGAGGAAGGTGCCTATAGTTTGCTGGGCTGTGTGACAGGTTTCACTCTCAGGACACCCTCCTGGGAACACGAGGCAGCCAGCACCCCGTCTCTCCTCCACAGTCGGCCTTGAACCAGTCCCCTGCTTCCCCCTGTGGGACAAACCACATGTTAGGATTAGAGCAGGAACTACTGTCCAAGCTTATGACGAGGAGGTCGGCTGAAATGGGTCATTTTTATTCGAAAAATGGATCCCAATTAGTTTATGTTAATAAGCACATGCATGTCAAGAGGCACAAAATGATTGAAAGTTTGAACCAACTGTACAAGTTACCCAAGTGCAATATATCGGGTGAAAATATACTTTTTTTTTTCATATTTCAAGCAAATACTTCTATAGTAAAATACAACACCAAAATGTCCTGATTGCTTAAGTGTCCTTATTCTTATGGTTGTTTAGCAAATGATCAAACAGTAGATTTAGTTAAAAATCCATAAGAAATAAAATCAAGTCAATTTACCATTTACCAACAGAGCGCTGTGAAAGCATCTGTGGCTGGGTAAACCAACAACCAAAACACTGTGGAAATACATACAATTACATGTGCTTGTGTAGTGTGACCTCCATTACTTGTAGACCTTTTCCACTAAAAGAACTCAACGAGCAGTAACTTCTGCTTCTGTCTCCTCAATTTCAGCACAGCTCAGGATGTGGTACTAAATCCAAGTTCCAGGTACTCTCAGGGGAAAGTAACGGCTAGTTTGCAACACAGCACCACAATCAATAAAGTGTTTAGACAAACACTGAAGGACGTTTGCATCAATGTACAGGCCTTTACTGCAATGACATGCGTGTGTAACTTTCAGGTAACAGTGGTATTTTTCCGTTTAGCAGCAGGGCAGCACTGTTCTGTTTTCTCTTGAAGGTTCAGGTTAGGAGTCTTTAAAGTTCCTGTAGTGAAAAAAAGCGTATTTGTAACAAATGAAGCACAGCAGACAGGAGGTGAACAACATACTGACCTGCCCATGGGCTCTCGCACTCATACAACATCCACTCATCGCTGCGGAACGTGCTGTGGAACCACATGGCGTGGTCTAAGGAGGCCGAGAACATGGCCCTGTAGTCGGGGTACGGCAGCAGCGCGGTGCCCAGGAATGCATAGTCTGACACGTAAGCAGCAACGCAGCAATGCAGCTTCATGTTGCCTTCACCTGCACAAACACACAAATAAAATAAACAGATAGGTTTCGTTTGATCTCAAGAATGGAAAAAGCATGAACGCTGTGTAATATCTGTAATGTAAATGTGCATTCAATGTGTTTTACCAATATATCCTCGTGCTCGCACCCAGAACAGCTGCTTCGGCTCGGATGCAGCGAGTCTGTAAAAGTGTGGTGGGTTGACTGGCTTTATCTCAATGGGGACCTCATTAGCCAGCAGTTTGTTGAGGCCTCGTTTTGCATTCTCTGCTAGGTCTGGTTTGCTGTGAAACAGGACAAGCAAATACAGATCATGACTGAGGAAGCCCACCTGCAAAGTACTTAATAACCCTTCGTGGCGAATTGGATTTACAGCCATGAGGTGATGTTTGCTGTTGGTGGTACAGCTCCACCTAGCATGTACTGTTTGTTTTGTGTTCCGACACAATTCCACCGGTGTTATTGTGTGCTCTACAGCAATCTGTGTGGTCTCCTTTCCCCTGTTGTTCGATGGTTTATACCTCTTTTAATCTATTTTTATATCACCAGCTGGTGTTTATGCATACTAACACGACAGTGTGCGTCTGCTCACACCAGTCAAATCTAAGGAAATACAGCTGGAGTCAACTTTCCCCCTCACTGTACTGAATATGAAAGAGGATATATAAAAGGAGACAAACAAGTACCTTATCAGTTTTCCATAAATCTGTAAGCCTACTCTGCTGGCATGTTTGAATTATAACTGGAGCCAACTCATTATTCATTCATTCATTTGATTGCTCCTCATCGAAATTTCAAAATCTATTTTCTAATAGAGCTGTGAGCTGATTCCCACACTAGCAGAGTGTATTAGGCCATCTAACTATGCATCTCTTAAGGGAAATAGTAAGTTAGTTACAGTAGTAGTTATAGTAAGCTGGTATACAATAAGGGGGTAACTAACTGCAAATGAAGGCCACAAGATGGCACCAGAGGACAGAGATGTTTTACAGTCTTTGTGTCCATTTGAAGAATCAAGATAAATTCACTCTTCTATATGTTAGTTTTATTCTTCTTTCCATTTATTTCATCTTTTGTGATTTTGGTAAACTGATCTTTTAGCATTTTTTTTATAAATGTACATTATTATACGATATATACATTATTATTATATATATATATATACACATAAATCTGTAATTGTCCTCTGTGTTTCCCCAGATATACTAAGTTCTAATGTAGCCTCTAATCTAACCCACTAAGTATAAACATTACATGTAGGCCTGGTTATATCACTACTTTTGTGTCTTTTCAAGTCCCTTGTTCATGTTGCTTTGTAACTAATAAAATAAATGGTTATTCCACCTGAGATTAGAAATCCAACTCTTTTCTCCATTAGTCGTTTTATCTATAAAATGTCAGAAAATACCCTTTAGACAGAGGGCCGTGGTGAGGCTGGAGCCGATCCCAGCTGACAGTGGACGAGAGGCGGGGTTCACCCTGGACAAGTGACACACAAGCAAACAGCCATTCACTCTCACATTCACACCTACGGACAATTTAGAGTTGCCAATTAACCTAACCTGCATGTCGCTTGACTGTGGGAGGACACTCACACAGGCACAGGGAGAACATGCAAACTCCACACAGAAAGGCCCCAGCCGGCCGGTAACTCTGAACCTTGTCGCTGTTACATGACAGTGCTAACCACAGAACCCCCGTGGCACCAAGTCCAAGATGATGTATTCAATTCTACTTGCAATAAGGTATGATATATAAACATATACATTTTCTGTTTAATAACTGATCAATTAATTGACTTATCATAGCAGCTTTACCTGAGATAAAGGTGAATAAGCTCCTCTATAGTGAGGAGGTCTTCAGGCTGAGGGACCACCGGCATGGTGAACTGGTGCTGCAGGGGGCTCTGCTGCAGCATGTGGAAGGACGCCTGGCAGATCAGTATAGGCTGTCCATGCTGGATGGCCTTCACAGAGCGTACTGTGAAACTGCGCCCATCTCTTGTGCGCTCCACCTGGTACAGCACTGGAACCTTAGGATCCCCTGAAAAACACCCACAACAAGAGCTGTGGGACTCGGTAACTGGACTGACTGTGGCCAGTTTCCTATGTTTCTGATCCAGATCAATCGCATTTGTTACTGTCATCTACTCTAACCAGCACCTTTCTTATGATGCTGCATCTTACCTGCTCGTACAAAGTAGCAGTGGAGAGAATGGGCATACAGATTATCGTTGACAGATTTGGCGGCAGCTACAAGGGCCTGACCGACTATTTGACCCCCAAACAAACGCTGACTGCGGGGCACCCAGTGGTGTGTCCCTCTGGGGAAAAATAGAGAAACATTCTAAATATATGCAAAGCGGTCTCACTGGATAATGCTTATGTAGCTGGGACAGTGAGGGTGATCAATGTTTTTGAGTGGTGTATAGCAATACCACAATGTAAAATGTCAAGCTACAATTCATAGTCCTCTTTTCAAAGTTCAGCTTCATTTAAATTACTTTCCCCCACATAATACACCTCAAGAACAAAAGTATATAAGTTATACAGAATCGCCCCTTTCGTTCTTTTATATCAGATGTAATTATTGAGGTGTTGAAACACCTCTGGAGACCTGTGGAGGTTTTTGTTTTGTGAGCAAACTGAATTTTGGTTGACATTAAGTGTTACCCGCTAACAAACATGCAGACCTGTTCTGTTTCTTCTTTGCACATTGGTGTGGGACAAGTTATATCCTTAGGAGACACTCACATAAATCCCAGCATAACTTTGACCAATTTCAAAAGGATCTACAATAACTGAAAGCACATATATCGGTGTTCAGGGCCTTAAATCTGCAAAATAATAAACACAATTTCCCCTCTAGAATATATTATATTAATAGTTAGTTAATTAGTACAAAATACAATTTATTCGAAATAAATTAGAATTCAGTAATTGAATAACTACTGGTATAAGACAATGCAGCTGGACAGTGAATGATTTGGAACACTATGAAATAAATGTATTATTGCCCACTTGTACATACTAGGTGATGTGATAGAGTGTAATAGCAACAGCTTGCTAACTCAGTGAATGCACCACACTTTTAACCAAGTACTTGTCGCTACCTGACTAACTAGTTCCACTGTTTTCAAAACACAATAGGACAATGGTTTTCAGGGACATACGTACTGGTGAGTCAGATATATCAGAGCTCAGTCTCCCAGTCTGTAATTACGACTTGAACACTATTTACATGGGGGGAAATCTTTAATTACAATAACTCCGATAGCGCATGAACGCAGCATATCACCGCTGCCTAAGATAAAGAGGTAAAGAGGTAAAGAAGTGAAGAAGTGAAGAACTTGAGCCGGGTACCTGTACAGGTCCACGTCGAGCTCCTCTAGGTTTAAAACGCTGGTGACCAGGACGCTTTTGAGGTCCTGGTCATACTGAGCTGCAGGACTCTCCGACCTCTCATCTTCAGGTGCTGTCAGTGACACAGTACCCCCTAAATCAATACAATTATCCGCTGACCCGCTAGCGCCATTGCTAGTATCCACTTCTCTTTCCGCCATGTTTGTTTGGCAAAGGGTAACTTCGTCTTTTTTGTTCAAAATAGGTTACCTATTGAACGTTGATACTCATTACCGCCACCTACCTGTCAGTAGCACGTTTATGATGCATTTATTCTACACTTACATTGTCACATACAACTATATTACCTTTACCTACTTATACCTGTTTTTTGTTTTATTATTTTCTTTTTGCATTGTTATATCATAGTGTGCTCATGTGCCACATGTACCAGAAGGGGCAGGCAACCTTAAATGGTGCGCAGCCAGTGGTGGCACCTGCGGCAGTAAGGTCTGTCACCTGTTGATACATACATTTAATTCTTCTGTGTGGCGGGCAGTCTTTCATATTTCCAAAATATAACAAGAAGCAACCCTATTTAAGTTTTTATTGTTTTTTAAAGAATGGCTTGGTACATGGCAGCAAGAAAACTATATCATTGGAGAGACAAGGCATGATGTAGGAAATGAAAATAAGTCAAATAAAAAGGAGAGGCACATACAGAAGTGAAAAATCCAATAGGAGTCAAAGGGACTGTTGAGCCAAACCAACGACAATAATTCAATAATTTGATTGGTCTCACATGCGTACATTCCCATATACAATGTCGCAGCGTTCCCACTTCCATTCTGCACTTCCAACACAAATTATCTTTCATCAGTTTTATTCTATGAAGTCTTACTGTAATAATAATCTGTGTAATATTATATTGTGTAAACCTTTTCTTCCTTTACATAATTGATCTGTCTTTCAACATATTCAACCATTTCCCATGTTCCAGTTCTCTTCTGAGATCTCTCTGTCAACAGTTTTACATTAGATGAGTCATTACTTGTGTGGCATATCCAAATAATCCAGTGTGGTTGTTGTTCCTGTGCAAATAGCAGGATTGTGCCATAATGAAGAATAAGTCTGTACATAGCGACACAACTTATACATTTGGTGGAATGAATAAGAATGGGATTTTAGTGTGTTACCTGTTTAAAATTTTCTGGCAGAAGGCCTAGAGGAAGTCAGGTGACATTGTATAAAGGGCAAGTGAGATGGAGAAAAGAGTGTTTGTTATTCCCCAATGAGTATTAACTGCAAAGAATGATCTGATCTTGCATGAGGCTTCTCTTCGTGTGATAGGTGCGTTCCATCAAAACATGATCCACAGTTTCTGCCTGTCCCCAGATACATTTTCCACCTGGGTGCCTGCCAACAAGTGCCAGCCCATGATTCATTGCACAGTGACCCAGTATCTGTCTAGTAATTACTACATTTTATAATTACCATTCTTGTATTCTTTGTAATTCTTTGTTGTGGTAAGCTCTTACACCTCACTGTTCCATACAGTACTCCCAATTAACTCTTTTCTGTTGATGGCTCTTTGCTTTCTTATCAGCTTCTTTATTCCCCTGTACTCTCTGTACTACTTGAGCTGCAGCCTAGACAAAAACAACAGTGTTCCCCAACTTAACACACCAAAATTTGAACTATTAGATCTGGTCTGGCCCCACTAATTAAGAACTTAGCAATCAATTTCATCTTCACCCCTAAACTCTTCATATGTTCTTCTGGTTCTGGTTGGCTGAAACTGTTTCTTAAGTTACTTAAGCTCTTTAGTCCACACTGCAAACATTCCTGCCTTTTTCTTGGCAGTTCACCTGCAGCTGAAGCAAGTTAAAGCTCCTGTCAGAGTTTGTAAGGGAAAGTGTAGGTATATTGTTCCACCAATCACATGTGTCTTCTGTGTTGTTCAAAGGTGGTTACCTATCAAATGTTGACATTCATTACTGTCATCTACTGCTGGGACAAAACACATAAAATCAAAACAAAACTGGCTTTTTTATGTTTTAAAAGTCTGCATGATAACAATGGGACAATGGGATAAGTAGTTCAAAGTAGGTTCATTCACTTCACAGTTTAGTTTTACTTAGAAGTTATCTCACTCTACACTTCTCATACTACCAAACACTTGGCGACAGTGGCAAATAAAAACTTCCTTTTAAAGGACCAGTGTGTAGGATTTAGTGCCATCTATTGGTGAAGTTGCAGATTGCAACAAACTGAACACTGGTCGCGTCAGTATTTGATGACCTGGGAATGAGAACAGGCTGTGAAGTGTGTAGGAGAA